CCTGTGACCTACAATATTACTGTAGTTACACTTCCAAAGTAGAATGTGACTGATCATTTAATTATGATTTAAATTCTGATTTGACATATGGAAATCAATAGGCTAATTGGTAATGAAAAATCAAAACAATTACATTTTATTTGCTTTTTGTACATTTCAAACTAACAGTCAAGCACAAAAATCTATTTATTTAAAATAATTTCACATCTCTACAGTGAGTGTGAGTATATTGTAGTTGTTCAATTAAAAATACTTTATTGATCACAAAAGTAAATTATATAATATAGTAGTAGTTCAAATGCATGTATTTTAGTTTAGCAATGCTCCCCAGTGTAGGTAAGGGCATAGAGTGTGTAAATAAATAACGCACCATTGTGACACATTCGTTTGAAGACGTGGTTCTGCAGGTTTGTCATTCTGAGTGTCTTGCACTGGGTCAGACTCTGGCTCGTACATGTAAGGCTGGATTGACAAGTCTACTGTTGTTGACATCCTTATACTTTCTTACCATCTGCCATCACTAATATGCACCTTCATATACGTTCATTTTTGTACTGTACTTTACGGTGTATACATGTATATAAATAAGCATATGTGTTTATGTATATGTGTATATGTGCATTGGTACATTACTATATATCACATGTGTATATTGTGGTGTTTTGTTTATCTTTTATTAATCTTTCATTATTCTTCTCAGCCTCTCTTGTATTAAGCTGCAGTAATGTGCAAATTTCCAGACTGTGGCATCAATAAAGTTTTATCTTATCTTATTTTATCTTAAAAACAGTTTTTAGTCGGTAGATAACTGTGTTTTTGCTATGAAACTACAAATATGGCCGAACGGGGTGGAGTCGAACGCTCAGCGACCTGGAGGGGGCGGGGTGTGAAATATCTCACTTGTACTTAAAGAGACCGCACCAAAACAGCTTGCTCTGAGGCGCAGCTCAGAACAGGGGTAAAGCAAGGAAAGCAAGGAGTCTGTGGAGCAACAAAAACGAGGAATTAAGACCAAAGCATTGCAGTTTTATTTTAAGTAGACCATAAGTGAATGATTTAGACGTGAAAAAGAAGGATTTAAAAGCATGATATGATACCTTTAAATAAGAAATTTTCCACAGAAAAACAGTACAGTAGCTGAAATCATACTGAGGGAGAAATGAGATCTGCACTCTCTTCTCCTGTAACTTTGATAAACATTCTCTGATTATCAAAATGCGTAATACTTTCATTTAAGAGAACAATAAATCAAATAAGAGAAGATTCTTCTGTTCTGATTGAGAAGGAAAGAGAATGTCTCTTTGAATGGTTAAGGCGACTAGATTCAGTTCTAATTGGAACAGAGTTTGTTCCTTCGAAGGCCCATCAGAGGACTGAGAGTCCAAGACTTTTTTCTTGATAATTTAACTCAAGGTGACCCCTACAAGATATTATCAGTCCAATATCAGCATATAAATGTAAAATCTCTACATATCAGTATCGGTTTATCTTCTGATAACAAAAACCAGATAAATTAACATCTGGATATGACCAAAATGTGTTAATAAAAGCTTGTGTTCCAGAGACATTAACCAGTGTGTGAATGATGACATCATCAAGCTGGATTATCTCAGGGAGAGCATGAGCCAAAATATTGTTTGAGACAAAATGTTACAAATAAATATGGCACTTTTCCCCTATCCATCCATCCATCCATCCATTTTCTTCCACCTATCTGGGGTCGGGTCGCGGGGGCAGCAGCTTCAGAAGGGAGGCCCAGACCTCCCTCTCCCCAGCCACTTCTTCCAGCTCCTCCGGGGGAACTCCAAGGC